CTACTCAGACACCTATCCTCTGAAATATGTCTATGCTGGATTATTCTTCATGAACATAGAGGCTATCTATTCAGGAGCAGCCTCAGAGACCATATTCGCACAACCGCTCCAGACCAAAGAGAGGTGAAGCAGAGCCAATGGGGTGAGCCAGGCTTCAGATGACGAAGTTTATTAGAAGCATTAGATGGAAGTATCCTATTCATGTCAGACTCCAGGTCAAGCAAGCACGGGAAGGAAAGGGTTTGCTGGAAATGCAGATGCTTCACCAAACATCAGTCCTCTCCAAAAGACAGGATTTAAAAACTTAAAGATCTACTGTTCCTTTTTCTTTAAAAGACTTCCTTATTGTTATATGTGTGCAGGTGAGGGGACAACTTGTGAAATCAATTCTCACATTCTCACCTTTCACTTTTACGTAAGACCTGAGGACTGAACCCTTTACCAGCTGAGCCATCTCTCTCTAGCCCAGGATTTACTTTGTATTTGCTGCAAAGGAGAGATGCATGGCCTACTTCCTCAGCTAAATCTAACTCTGCCTCTGTTTGGACTGCATGAGGATTCAAACATATCTGTCCTCTTCTCCATCAACAGCTGCTAGACTACTGGCTCCCATGTCTACAATGGAACACATTTCACACTTATTTCAGGTGTATAGTCTGGCTGATTGCACATCTGTACTGTCTTATTTGTTCAGGCTTCCTTGTGTTCTTTGGTGACTCGTACAATCCCACTAACAAGGCTTTTTAGGGGTCAGGGAAAATGTAGGGCATTTGGTACATGAGTAAAACATGACAAGCGTTTCTATTCCTCATCAGTACAATGCAACATCCCAGACCAAGTCAACCTAAATGATTATGAAAACTGAGTGACAGAATGCTACCCAGTGCACATGTGCACTCTTCCTGTCACCAGAGGAAGATGTACTTTATTTCAAAATTATGTGAAAGAAAACTCTCACAAATGTTGACATTCAGTACTATATGGGAATATCTGCTTCTCAGCTAAAACTTACCACAATTCCCTGACAGCTTGGGCTTAACATGGCCTGGATTCCTCCTCGCAAGCATGTTGTCCATGCAGATAGAATTAGGCTACACAGTGAGACTCTGTCTCTGTAGGGAGACAGACCCACAAATGTGTATTTGGATCTGCCTACCATTTCAAAGGCTGTACCTTTTCTCCTGTGCCAGAGATGAGTCCTTAAACACATCTAAATTATGTGTGGGGACCTACAGGGAGGCACAGGATAAGAACTTTCGTTTTTGAAGATAAAGTTGAATGTTCTCCATTGAGTATGATAGATAATAACCAAAAAAAAGGAAAGAAAATAAAAACTAAGATTGCACACTACAGTCTACTAACTAAACTAACTGTAGGAGACAGGGTGTTATAGCTGCGGCCATCCTTCATCTCCTGAGGGCTGAGATTACGGGCACTCATCACCACGCCCAGCTGCAGGGACTTTCTGAAGTCTACTCATCTATTAAGCAGATCTGTCCAGCGATAGCAAAGGCAAAGACAGACTGTCAATGGCAATAGCCGTTTTCATTTATCACAAGCCTGTTAATTAATTCATTACTCTGCCAATCAACTGCACTGCCAGTGAGATCTGTGGAAGTAGGAAAGGGTGACTTACCGTGCACATGGCTGTCTTTGTGATTCTCAGGGTAAAATCTGAAGAAAACTCCAAGTCTGAGATAGATGTAGTGTGGCAATCTATATGCTTCCCATCAGAAAGGAGAAAGAAAAAGATCAGTAAACATGAATAACAAAGTCTAGCTAATATACAACAACTGCAAACCAGTGTTTCCTAACTTCTAATCACAAGCCACTCTGAGGATTCTTTCCAAACTATGGAATATTAACAGTTAGTTAATGTTTCTTTAAATCACGTTGGTCTCTTCTACTTTGACTTCCTGTAAGCAATAATATCTACAAAGTCACACACTGATCTGTCTGCTAGTCTTGCTGATACACTGAAGACTTCAAATTTAAAACCTAGTGTTCTTTTCTCCACCGAGATCATCTTGCCCACCACCCATATCTGCTATGCTCCAGGTAATGAAATTAATCTTCTAGAGGAAAGGGCAAGTTGAAAACACATGCTGGTGAAGGGAAAGATTGTCAGGAAAATTCTTCTCTAATGTATTTAAATATGCTTGTTAGGTAGTAGGAAAAGCCATAATAATTCAAACAGAGAAATTAGGATTCATCTTGGAAAGAAACAGCCCATTCCTTTGTCTTCTGCCCTGGCTCAAGCTCTCCAGGTCACTTTGGGAGGGGTTGACAAGTAATAGAATTTATAACCACAGGCTGGGACATCACTCTCTTTAAGATAGTTGAAGCAAAGTTTTAAAGCAAGTTACAGTGTGAGGGATTTTAGGTATAGGAAGAATGGAGGAACACAAATGATGCTGAACAGGCAAGTTTGATGTCACAGAGCATCTACTAAACATCTTGGAGATTCAGCCCTAAACCAGCTACATCAACTATTCACAGTAGTTGGAAGGTCAAGCAAAAGGGCAGCAGGAGAGCACTCAGCACTCCCTCCCTACGCTCCCCCTATTCTGCAACATGGCCAAGGTGGCAGTAACTGTTCCCCTCTGCTCTGACTCAAATAGCTCCACACACCTTCCTACCAGGGTACCAGGGCAGCAGAGCATGGAGCAGGCCCGTAATGGCCATCAGTGCACCAGGGCACCCAGCATCCCCACAGTTAATCAAGCTTGCTTGCTGAGGAGTCTCCTTTGTGCAGAGAATAGTTACATATTACAAAAGTCATTTACTGGAAGGAGACAACTGCCCTAAACCCACAGCTGAAATCTTCACACGCTCCATTATCTATTTAGACAACCAATGTGCTAAGAAACTCAATGTGACTCCTCACTGCCAAGCCATGGTGAACTCATGTAAAACTGACAGTCACAGCAAACCCACAGGTTAACATGGACAAAAATAAAACACAAAAGGACTTCATAAGGACTTTTCCACAGTCACCCTGCAGTGTCAGGTAAGTTCATGGTAATTAATCTAACGAGGCTGGAAGAAATCTGAGTAAAAAGTTAAACTGTGACACATCAGATGGGAATAATGCTCTGTGGGAGCCAGTGTGATGCCAGGTGGTCCCGAGGCAGGTGCCAGCACTGCAGAAGCAGGCCTCTGCCTTCAGGAAGTCAAACTACGTATAAGTGATTCAACCAGCTCCAGGACTTGGATCTGAAGGCTGATAAATGGAATAATGAGAAGTGATTCTAAGCAATGATGGCCCAGAAGCAAGTTTGATCCCATTTTAGACTAAACTAAAATCAGAGGAAGCCCACATGGAAAGTCAGTAAGCAGACATATCCTTGGATTCAGGCAACTGTGGACTGAAAGTATTACCTTATTCTCACCCGAACTCCTTCTCAAATGCCCTAAACAAGATGGCCTGCTACTTACACAGCACTCATTTTGCAATAAGTATAAGTGAAGTGAGTGGTAATTCAAAGTGCATGACAGGATGCGTGCAGGCCACATGCAGACACTTCCTCATCCTGCCTAACGGTTTTCTGCACATGTATGGATTGTGACATGTGCAGGGAGTCCTAGCATCAAACCTCACAGACACACCTACCTTGATACCACAAGGGTCTGAAATAAGAGTCTGGTGATCTACAACTTCCACAACAGCTTCTGGAATAACCGCCTTCTTCATGCAGGACATGTTGAAGCCATAGACGTCATCCCAGAAGGCAATTCTATCAGCATGCTTGCTCACATCACTCACGGCCACTAGGCTGATGGTGCAAATGTCAGGGTAGACTGGAATAAAAATAAATAAATAAATAAAAAATGCTCCTATATGTAGCATCTTCTTTTCACTTAGAGGACGGTTTTAAATGACTAAATATAAATACCAAACCTATCTGCACAGACCACTAGCAAGGAGAGATCAATGAAGACAGAGACGGGGAGACAACTAAGTTCCCCGAGTGCCTATAATCATGATGATAAAATCAGCATCCAGCTGGGGCGGTGGTGGCCCACGCCTTTAATCCCAGCACTTGGGAGGCAGAGGCAGGTGGATCTCTGTGAGTTCGAGGCCAGCCTGGGCTACGGAGTGAGTTTCAGGAAAGGCTCAAAGCTACACAGAGAAACCCTGTCTCAAAAAAAAATACTAATATTAAAACTTAAAATATGACAACTTGAAAAACTGTTATTTCATATATTCCTCTAAAGTACACATATAGAGACAAACTATCTGGCAAAGTATTTAGCGCCATGGTGGAGTGGATACCACACTGGAGTTTTCTGGGCAGGTAGAGGCCAACTCATACTGTACTCTTATTTAATATAAAATGATTGTTAAGTATATGACAGTCTAAATAAAGACTGTGGACACAAATTTTTACCCTCAGAGAGAAACTTGTATTTATCTATTTATTTTGAAACTGGATCTCCTGTAGCCCAGGCTGGCCTCAAAAGAGAAAGCACAAGGCATTGTGGATCACCCAGCAAAATCAGCCAAATCAGAAGAGGCTGCAGCAGGGGAAGCAGGCTACCATGTAAGAATAGAAACCAGCTCAAAAGTGGGGTGAGAAAGAGTGTTCTAGCAGAGTGAGTGTGTGGAGCAGTCACCATTAAGGGGTGGCACTTGCATTCTAACTAGACAGGCAGAAAGACACAAGGCTCAGTGGGGTCTCTGTCAACCACTGCAGTGAACCAGACTTTAAGAATGGTAACTCGGTGAAAATTTCACCTAGGGTAGCACTATGATCAGATTTCAGTTTCAGAACAACCATTTGAAGTGCTATGTGAAGAATGACTAAGAGGAGAACAGACAAGTCCAGAAACATGTAATGAGTCGGTGGTGAAAACCAGGCCGTAATGAGTCGGTGGTGAAAACCAGGCCGGTGGCTACAGCATGAAGAGGAAATGGACCTGACAGACAGATGGGAGGTAGAACTCGGGCAAAACCGGCTGAGATGAGGAGGAATCGGGAACAGTGCTCGGCTTTAGCAGCTGAGCAGACTGTCAACTGTAAAGGGCATCGATATGAACAGACCCAGGAGGAATGAGTGCATTGCTTCCGGCACTGATGAAAACGTCAATGAACGAAACCTAAGGTGTGGAATTATCTGGGTCTAAGATACAAAACTGAAGACTGTGAACATGCAAACAGAAACATACACAGCAGACGCCTGTAGACCCAGCACCAGGTACGTCAACATCACCAGGAGAAGTAGCAAAAGGGGCTGAGGGGACAGAGAAGGAAGAGAGCCAAGAGGGCACTGAGGGTGGTGGGAAACAGTTTAGAAGAACTAGAAGAAATGCTGTGGGACAGTAAAGGTCGTTATGACACAGCACACGGCTCCTTTCTGGTGACTAACGTGGAAATGAACTTTTCCTGTGAATATCTCAAGCATCAATTTTTAGGGAATTCATGAATAAAAAAAAAGTCAGTTATATGCTCCCATATCAAATGACAACCATAAAATAACCACAGAAATGGTCCATGGTCAGCAGCCAATCTTCAGACTTAGAGATCACCCTCTACTTCACCTTTAGAAACTGTATGAGTCAAAGCTCTAAGTTCTCTTTAAAATAAAGGCCAGGATAAGATCTGCATCAAAGCAGGACACGGGCCCTAATGCTGCCTCACAGTTCAGCTTCTGCAGTCATCCCCAAGAGCCATGCACAAGAGTGTGCTGGCTACCCAGTGCCCAGGGTCATGCTCTACTCCTCCAGTAGCATGCCAAGCTCTCTGGCTGGTTCCAGTCTGAGGAATACAAATTTGTTCCTGGGATGCTGACTAACAACAGACCCGCCATAGGCACTACAGTAAGTTCTCTGAGCCACACCCTTAACAAAGAACTGATCTCGAGGCAGCCCAGCAGGGCACTACTGGGTATCTCAGTAGCTTCCTCTATCCTTTATAATATCTGTGTCAAAGCTGCAGCTTTCTGCATATGGCCTGAGGAACACAGGAAGGCAGTTAGGCCAGCAGACATCTTTTGTCAACACTTTAGGTTTTGGAAGCCATTTGTTTTTTGTTGAAATGACCACTTTCTGAGGTTACTATGAAAGCAGAATGGCTATGTTCAATAAAGCCTTGTCCATAAGACAGGCAGTGGATCAGACCCAGAGACCCTGCCAGAGAAAAGAGGGAAGACAATGATGGTAAGATTTACCGCAGTGGTTAACTGTTACTGTTAGGAGTACCACTGCTCCTGTAGTTCACGGGAACTAAACGTACTGCAGCATTGTATAGGATAAGGACAGTCATGTGACGTACTGCAGTTCAGAATATGATTAAAAATCCTCACTGAGTCTGGCATTTGTTTTTAATGCCATCATTGAGTTTGGCAACCACAGGCCATGCATCAATCCAGTCTGCTGCACAGGTCTGTAAATGCTCTGTAAGCTCTCTGTACTAGCTATGCTTATCCATCATCCACAGCTGCACTGTGATACAGCGCCAGAGCTAGAGAGAGGGCAGGGATGTGGCCGGTCACACTGACAATGCAACCTGGACCCTGGCCAAAAGCCGCTGATCTGCCACCCCCACAAGCTGTGTGGTGTGCTAGGACACCATGGAGAACAAAGATGGCCCCTTCATAAGGAAAACTGTGGCTAACTGCAAGCCAGGTTTAGAGAAAAAAAAAAAATCAAGAGCAGAATGGTTCTTCTTCTCCAAGTGTTGAAGCATAGTTTTTAAGCTAATTATATTTCAAAGATATAAAATTCCTGGTTTTTATTTTTAAACTCAGAAATGATTTTTCATCCCTCAGAAAGACATGAATATTCATAAAGGTTTGTAATCAGTGCTCGAGGTCAATGGGGTTCAGCATCCACCTTGGCACAGCTGCCTAAATCTTGGGCCACCTGCCAGAACTCTACTAACCCTTTACCTTCACAGTCTCACACATTTGTCACTTTTTTTTTTTGTCAGATAGAAGCTATAATTGAATAATTATGCCTGCTTGTAGGTGAAATCGGCCAAGTGCTGATTGGACAAAAGCAGCCAGTTACCAGACCATTTATAAATCCATGGCTCTGACATCTGTGTCCTTCTCGATTCACTGCCCAGAATTCATCTGTCACTGGAACGACTCACGAGGTGAGCAGACCAAGATGGGAACTCCTTCATCTCTAGGGAAGACCTCACAAACTTCTGGGCCCTAAAAGCTGAGACTGAGGCATATGAGAATACAATCCCCACAAAACACCGGCAAACAGGAGTCAAAGCACTGCAAACACTCACCAATTCACAGAGCATGAGTAACTTAGAAATTAAATATTCATTTGGGAACTAGACCTATTCTCCACAGTACCTTATAAATAGTGGTCAGCTCCATTAAAGTTAGGTAGACTTAATATGTAGATGGAATATGCTTTGAAAAACTACGCACTGAAAAAAGTAAACAACATTATCAGGATATTTCTAGAAAAAAAAAAGTGGCAAAAAAGTACAGAAACAGCACAGGAAACTTTGAGCCCCAGAAATCAACCTCCATGGCTTCTGTGTGATGTCATCTATGTACAAGTATGACACTCAATGTGCTGGACGAAGGTGCCATGTTCAAACCCATTTCACCACTAAGGCACAAGCCAATGCTGCTCTTGTTTCCAGCAAGAATACAGGATATGTAATACATAATGAAAAGCCAGACTTTGAGATGACTGTCTATAGCTAGGCTTTCACACAACAGGAGACTGAAGGGACGGAGGTAAGTAACACCAGGAGAAGCAGTCTTCACTGGCTAAGAAGACAACCAGGTAGCTGACACGCAGTCTTGAGGTCTGCCTATAGACACCACGGACTTCCCACTGCATGCCTGCCCACTGCCTTGCTCTTCAAATGCTACAACTCCACCCTTCTAAAGCAAATGAGCACTTGGTAGAAGGCAAAGGAGAAAGAGCAAGTACATTGTAACTATTATTAAAGCTAAGTGAGCCAAGCAAAGATGTATGGGCTTGCTCACTCTGCTGAGTGGCTGGTGACAGGACCCAGAGAGAGGTGAAGGGCAAACAGCCCAGCGGCTATGAGAACAGGAGGCATCAAGGGAAGGATGCTCGTGAGCTAGCTTCTGGTGTGCACAGGCCCAGGGCAGGGCTGAGGCTGCTGGCTGTGTTCCTATGCTCTATTTTGCTGCTCCTCAGGATGCACATGGCAGAAGCGCTTTCTTCAGTCTAAAGGAGGCCAGGTCGGTAGGGGAGGGAGGCTCTGGTAAAGGGGTACAGAGACAGTGTCATCTCCAGGGCACCTACACAGCATAATGCGTCAGTCACAGGCAGGAGCCTCTGTTCTGAAGCCCACAGGTCTGGCAAAGCAACAGTTTCTGGCTGCATCATTTCCCAGTTTTCACACTTTGTAGCATTCCTGCCCTTCAGTAAGTCCTTTTTCCACCGACTGGGGTGGATTTGTGTTTCCTGCAAGAAGTCCTTTCACCACATTTGCTATAAAGAGAAGAACCATTGAAAAAAAAAAACTCTGCCTCTGATTGTGTTCAATGGCCTCCTCCACGAAGCCCGAGCATCTATATTTTAACGAAAAGCCCCTCCTGACTGTGTTGGTCCTTGTAAAATGAATCAGAGGCGGTGAGCTGGAACAGGCTGGTAGCCCTCCTACTTGAAAGTGAATAAAAGCCTGAAAGAGCCCAAAATGCATCTGGGATCTTAGCATGAGGGGACCTGCTTTCACAGTCCTGGACAGCATAATGGCAAAGCGCAAAAACAATTCCTTCCTGATAGAGGAAGATCAATAGCTTCTCAACTTTATTCTGCAAAAAATGATTTTAGAAACTCTTGCTGATTTTGAGTGAATTACTTCTCCATGTTATTAGCAGATGCAATTTCAATCTCTTCCACTCCTGAGCATGTCAGCTTTGATTTCTCAGTGGTGGCTGGGCTTTCACACTCGAACTGACTGGCTTTGCCCTGTTGTAATTAGTAGACATTCTACGGAGGATCTTTGAAAGCAAGTAAACATCTCATTCTTCAAGTTGTGGTTATTTATTTGTCATTTGTATTTGAAAAGACATTCCATTTCTTGTTTTTAACCAAAGGGTTATAGGTAAGAAAAGGAAGCGTAGGTACAGAAGGGTAGCATTAAAACTCTTTGCAAACGACTAGATTGTTTACACAGGAAATCCTTTTAGAAATAACCACCAAGCTCAGCAATACCATAGGACATACACTTAATAAAGCAAAGCATTTCTATGTTCTATGCCACAGGCAGGCAAATGAAAAACAGTACAGAGCTTTGCCCCTGCAAAGACAGCATTGTAAACTCACAGGGGGCTCAATGCAAAGAGGCTGGTTATTTTCTAACTGTCCTATTCATTAGACGCCATTTTAATTTCACATCTTTTTAAAACAATGTGGAGGTGAAAGGAATGAGACCTTGTCTCAAAAAGTACGGGAGAGAAACTGTGAAGACGCTCCACATCGAGATCTGGCCTTCATGTTCCCATTTCCTCTCGCCCTTCCCCTCTCCACTCCCTGCTTTCTGTCTCTCTTGCTCTGATCCTGAAGTGAATCATGAACTCAATGAAAACACTAAAACTTCCAGGAGGAAGTTAAAAGATCCTTCTGTGACCTCAAGTAGTGTGTCCTCCGCTGAGACATGCGTGCAACAGCACAGAGGCGGCACCTTTCAGCTGTCCCCATCCCTTTCTGGGAGCTGTCATTCAACTCTCTGTCCAGTGCTCCTCTGGCTTTGCTGGCTACTTACTGGAGGCTCCACCAATATGTAAGAAACTACACTTACGGTAGGAGCTGGGTGGGTTCCCCACTTCAGTCCTTGTGACTCCGCTTTAGTAGAGTCTGTCACGTGAGGATTTACAGTCAACTTCACAAATTATCTATCAGGGCTTTCAAATTTAAGTTCTTAGAAAACTCTTCCTTCAAGCCTAATGTGCTTGCATTCTATCTGATTCACTGGTAAATTGCAATGATCAATCTATTGTCTGGATTAAGCTGTTTAAAGAAGGGCTGCCTGAAGGTTTTACTATGTTGCCCAGGCTGGTCTTGAGCTTCTGGGCCTGAGCATTCTTCATGCCTCAGCCTCCTAAGTGCTGGAACTACAAGAATGTACCACTGAGCCCAGCTGAACCTTACTTTATTTGACCTTTTTTTCCTTTAAGGCAAGGGCTTATGTTGCCCAGGACAGCCTCCAACTCAGTGAACAGCTGAAGCTGGCCTTGAACTCCTGATCTTCCTGCTTCCATCTCACAAGTACTGGGATTACAGGTGTAAGCCACCATACTTGGCTTGGTTTTATTTTTAAATAAATTTTATTTTAATTTTCTATTAAAAACAATTTCCCGCACTGTAAGAGGTACTAGTCACATATGTGGTTCTAACCAGATTTTCAATTTTCTTCAGCTTGTCTTCCACACAGGAAGCAGAAACAGCTGCTTTTATTGTCTAGACTTCAGGGTGCACTTCGTATATGGCAGGGCTCTTCCTCCTGTCTCCACTACCACAGGGTCTTGCTAATTTGGTGGTTTCTTGCCATTGCTGTTTACTTTTCCATATCAATTTCATAATCAGCTTAAATTAAAGACAAACCTGTTGGTTGGGACAGCAGTACAAACTTAGAAATGCTACTGTATAATTTTTAACATCAAAAAAGGGGAAAATATACATAATTCTCATCTACAATTTTAATAATTGTTAGTAGTTTTGGATTTCATCATAGTCTGCAGTAAGTTTGGGCGAACTGACATCTTCCGGGATGAATTTTCTTTATTCAAGAACTTAGTACATTGATTTAGGTCTTCTTCATGGGAGAGAAGAGGAAGACAGATGAACTACACTCACATCATGGACCCATAATACTGACACCCCATTCCAGAATGCAATCATTCTTTCTAAAGTTCTTCCATTACGATTGCTTGGTAAGGATTCCCTTAAGAAAAACATTAACACTTCACAATACACACGAGCATTTGATGGCAATATTTGTTCATTTCATGTTGCTCATATTTTACTTATTTTTCTCCTAATTATATTAACAAATAGCATTCCACAGCACTGCTCAGGCAGCTAAATGCCGATTCTTCTGACTATGCCCCCAGATGATCCTAATGTTAATCAGTTCTATGAAAATATGGACTGAGCTAGAATCATTAACCTCCCGTTTATCCCTCCAGCTGCCACGGTCCCATGGCTATGGGCCTAATGCACCTCACTGAGCACTCGATTTAAATGCATTAGCTGCTGTCAGTTCTTCAGTGAGATCAATGGACACCACTGGGGAGGTATGGAGAGGGGGGGGGTTCCCTAGAACCCCACAGCAAGAGTCAGCTGCTTTAAATGCATTTTAATAGGGAAATCAAGGTTTAGTGAAAAGAACATGAACATTGATTAGGTCAGGCAGATATGAGTTTAAAAACAAGAAAAGAAATGCAGGCTTGGCTGCCTAATGGTGTCATCTTCCTGGACACCTTTGACACTGTTCCCCAAATCTCAAAGGGCCATGGTAAAGATTATGTATGACAAAAGCAAGGGTGATGGTGATGACCACTAGAGAATCATCCAGTGATATTATTTCCTTCAGTCACTAAAAAGCCCACAATAATCAAAGATGCAGAGACTGTTTCAAGGTAAGACATCTAAAATTCTAGCCAGGTTCACAGCAGAAATCAAGAACTACTTTAAAGTGAATGCAGGGACTATATGACAAGTGTCCCTTGAGAAGGAAGGAATACACAGAGTGCTACTAGAGTGCTCCACTGTCTGGAGGACCTGTCCTGGCTCTCCTGGTTTGGCCTGAGGACTTTCAACTGTGCTGTAACAGTCTATACAGCTGCAGGGTACTGTGGGCAGGAGGCTTGAGCAACAGCATACTCCCTGTTCTTAAGGACACCAGGCATCCAAGCACAAGGCTGGGAAGTACACTTCTGCCTGAAGATGCAACCAGAACACTACTTTCCCACAGACGTGGAAAAAAGTTGAGAAGGATCTGCTTAGCGTAGATTCACCTTTCTAGCCACCAGAACTATATCACATAGTGAAGGAGCTTATAAATTAGTGAGGTAAGGGAAATTTGCTATTAAAGCCAATAGTCTCCAACCTAGTATGAAACATGCTATTGGCCTCTGGCTAAGATTAAGTGTGGAAAACAGGAACCAAATGACCCAAGGATTAAAAATGCAAAGATGCTTCTGACACATTTTAATTTGCATACTAAAAGCTTCCCACATCTAGTCCTTATTTTTCTATTAAACAAGCAAGCTAACAAACAATAAAAACCTGGTAAAAGATGTCCTAAGAAACCATAGCCTTGGAGTCCTCATATCTTAAGTAACCAAGGCTCCTTCCAATGGGAACATCTTTCATTTTTACTGAAACTCTCTCAGGTATGCATAGTGTGCTTGAAATTCAGAAGTTCATTTGGTTGCACCACACTGAAATCAGATTAAGACTGAAATGTCCTACTTACCTGATCCTCCTTTTGCCAAGTATTTGCTCTTTGCATAAAGGACAGAATCCAACATCGACTCGAAAAGAAGAAAATAGCCCTGTGCAGAAAGGAAATGATGAGCATCAGGAACAGGCACAGCCGCAAGAGACCCAGTGGCCCCCGATGGCCCTGTCACCAAGTACTTTCTTGTCATGCAACTCTGCCAGTCACTGTATTTTCTATACAGTGAGCACTGGAAGGCCAGGTCTGGGTGTGAGGTAGACATAGGGGGTTCGATCAGGAGCAAGTACAAAATCTGCATCTGCAACCACTTTTCAGTCTACTGTTTCTTCCCCAGTGGAAGGGAAACTTCAGGCAGAAACTTTTTGTCAGGCCCGCAACCCCGTGGAATGCTGCAAGATTCATCGGGAGTAATGGTCCTGATAGATTTTGTCTTCTGTGGGATCTGTCACACTGGACACCTTCAGTATCACACTGGGGGTGACGGTGGAAACACTACTGGTGTCACTGAGCAGAGCCACAGCATGTTACCACACATCCTGCCATGTACATGACAGCCCACAGCGGAAGTGCTACCTGACCAGTGACTGAGGCAGAGAACCTGGGCGTAAAGTGCCATCTCCCAAAGCACTGTCTAGAGAGCATTCTTTGGTGTGCATACAGACAGCACTAACTGGACTCAGTGGGTCACCAAGAAGGGAGGAGGGGGAGCCAGAGATTGGGAGGGATGTCAGAGGGGTAGATATGTCTAAACAGATTGTAGCTATGTATTGCCTAGAATTTTTTTAAAAAATCAAGAATCAGGAGGAACATTCATTCATCAAAGAGGTTCACAGGGCACATTCACATAATAGAAGTTCTTGAGAGAATAGGGCTGCTGCCCATACTCTGAGCAAGTGTCACACTTTTCCACTGGAGTTCGTCTGCTACCTGCCATGCACCAGCTCAAGGAGCAGGACCCTAGTGTAACCAGGGAATGGTGGTGAACCCTTCCCAGGGAAAGGATAATGGAATACACAGGGAAAGGAGACACTCTTGGGGGTCCTAAAAAGGCCATATTCTATTAACACACTGCATAGCATGTACTATGCAGACAGCCATATCCCTCAGCATCAGGGAGAGTATGAGCTACACCTTCACATCAGTGCTCTAGCTGAAGCTGTTTTCTCATCTGTTCCTTTGTTCTGTGTACACATTATTTTCTGGTGGGATAAACACCCACCAGAAAACTTTTAATCACATAAACAAATGGAACAAAAAGGCAGCAGACCCGGAACTGTTCTCACAGGTGAGTGACCCAATTAAACTCATGGAAAGAGGTCTGAAGACTGCCTCTGCCTTGGATCAACCTCCTCCCGACAAACTCAGACAAGAGAATGTCCAGGCACCCATGCTGAGTTGCAGATGTGTTTACACCATGGAAACTAAGGCTCAGGTGAAATTTCTGAACAAGTATGTCCATCATATGCTAAACACTACACAATAGCATCCTTTAATATGCCCTGTGTGTCCCAGGAACAGGGGATGTGTAGAATTCCATCAATGAATTACCAGTTCATACAAATCTACACACAGAAATGCTTGTAAATGGGCATCTTTGCATTGAGTAAACTGAATCATAATTTGTGTCAAGGAATTATTAAAAGTGGGTTACCCCAGGAATAGAAAGATCACCTGAAGTCAGGCATGGGTGGCAAATGCCTTTAATCCCAGCACTAGGAAGGCAGAAGCAGGTGGGCCTCTCAGTTCAAGGCCAGTCTGGTCTACAGAGTAAGTTACAGGACCCAGGCCTATGCAGAGAAACAATGTCTTGAAAAACCAAAATCAAAATAATTTTAAAAATTAAAAAAGAAAGAAAAGAAAAAAAAACCTGAAGGCCTGGAGCTTGGAAAGATGACTTAGCAGTTAAGAGCACTGGCTGTTCTTCCAGAGGACTGGGGCTTGGTTTCTAGCACCTACATGGTTGCTCACAACCATCTGTAACTCCAGTTTCAGGGGGATTCAATGCCCTCTTCTGGCACCAGTCACGCATGTGGGGCACAGACATATGGTCAGAACACAATCAAAAGAATGACCCATGGTGAACAATGCCTTGGGGAACTGTGAGAGGCTCCAGAAAAAACAGCAGAAGGCCTTTTACCTCAGGTGCATTGTGTTCCCTGGACTGTTCTTGGATGTGATTTCATGTCTCTTGTGACAAACATTTACATTCAATTTATAAGACATTATTTTTGTTGGATGTCAGATCATAACTATAGAACTCAACCTAGTCATTATATACTGAATCTAGATACTGCCTCTACCTTGCTTTCCTGCTTTCCTACATATAATCTATACTATGTACTAGACAATTTGTGCTTAAATTGGTCTGTGCTGAGAAAGCTCTGGGAAAGAGCTGCTCTGTTCATGTTTAGTATGTGCTTACTGACATTTATTACATGTTTTTCTGAACTCAAACAACCTTCCTTGGATCACTGCTTTCTTTGTTACATTCATGTATAAAAGTATACTGAGGGAAGGGGGGCAAGAAGGGGAAGAACAAGGGAATCTGTGGCTGTTATGTAGAACTGAATGGTATTGTAAAATAAAATAAAATAAAATAAAATAAAATAAAAGTATAGTGAAACTGAAGTAAGGTTATCTACAGCATTAGACTGTAGCCCACCCCATTCTTTCAGGTCCTCAGATCCCAGGTTCAGCAGACAAGATCTGCACAGGTCAATGGAAGTCGACACATACATTCAGGCAAAAAGTTCATACACAAAGCCTGCTTTCTTATACAACTCTGGACCACCTGCCTATGGGTAACACTACTCACAATGGGCCAGGTCCTTCCAAATAAATTATAAACTAAGAAAATGCCTCACAGGTTGGCCCACAGGCCAATTTGGTGGGATCATTTTCTCAGTCTAGGTGCCTTCTGGTAAAAGAACTCTGTGTCAAGTTGACATAAAACTAGCTAATACCCTCAATACGTTTTTTTGAATTATTCGTTTAATTAAACTAGACAAGAAAATATAAAACCTCTCAAAATGTCTTCATAATTTATAACTAAGAAATACAATTTTAAGCACAATAAAAATGATTTGCTCAAACTCTCCAAATCAGTTCCAATTTCAACTCTGAGGCTCTACCGTAGAGTAACAAGGGACGTAAATACTCATGCATAAACACCCTCCATAGATGCCAGGTCTCTGCTCCCCAGTTTCCACCCAGATGTTACTGGTCAGATTTCCAAAAGCAACAAAGAATTCCATCAGTTCATATGCAGGACTGGGCATAGTACCTGGCACTCATGGAGACCAACATGTCTGACAGACTCAGTGGTGATGCGCTTTGATCAGGGATGCAGGGACGGAGAGAGACAGCTACAGTAAGTCAGTTCTTCCCATTTCCGCCTCCTCTCCTCTCTTCATGGCTCTCTCTGATCAGAGTTTCCATTCTAATGCAAGATTCTGCCCCCACATAAGCTTCTATTATGTCAAAGTCCTTGGTAAACCCTAAGTTACAGAACAGGGGAGTTGGCTGGGTGTGGTGGAATGCACCTTTAATTCCAGCACTCAGGAGGATCTCTGTAAGTTTGAGACCATCTTGGTATACACAATGGGTTCCAGGACAGCCAGGAATACATAAAGAGACACCCCACACACACACATACACAAAAAAACCCCAACAACAATAACCAAACAAAAAACAGAGGCGCCAGCCAGTCAATAGGAAAACAACCCCTCAAACAACAAATCATACATGTCACACAGCTAGGAGCTTTGGCACACTACCGAAGACTCAGCTTGACAAGTTCACTGGTAACTGGTTATCCTGCTATTCAGGCAATTGCTCAATTGTTAATCCATTTAATTGGATTGTTCCAATGTCACTAAGTATGCTCTCTTCTTTGTCATTCATCCACATCTATTTCCTTGACTATTTTGTCTCAGCCAATCATAAATGGCCCTACAATGTAAGCTCCGAGAAGTTCAAGCACATGGCCCACACTGTCTGGAACAGCAAGTTCTGAATGAGCAACAGCATGTAACAAGTGTGTGTATCCACACTGATAAAATGAAGGAGACTTGCTTTGAAATGGAACAAAATAAAGTTATTTAAAGTGATAGTCTCTTTGTTAAAACTGAAACTGCTGAGTAAAAAAATGGTGCTGACTGTGCTTTATAGAGAATGTCATTTCATCATCTCACAGAATACATTTGTCATTGCCATCACCTCATGAAGAAACCAAGGCTTAGAAATAAGCTTAAGCCTAAAAAAAATCCAGTCACACAAACAGTGACTGAACTAAAGCAGAATGTGAACCTGGTCTGATGACAGAAGCCAAGGTCTGAATTTCTATTTGATTTGCTTGACTGGAAGATTACATATTTGTATTAGGATGACATGGGTACTGCAGGACTCAGGGATTCTGAAATGAAAAAGTTCCCACAGAACATGTTCAATGGGATCAGAATTTTAAACTATGTGAATCAGAATACTTCAGAGTGGCATCTTAGTGAGCAACTGAAACACTAGCGTGAAAGATTACATGACATGTAGATTATATGTAGAATTAATACATGACACTGAGAAAAATTAATTAACACATCTCATTAAAAGCAAGTGGGTGACTAACCAGGGCTCACAGGGGCTCACAGAGACTGAACCAACATTCAGGGAGCCTGTTTGGGTCTGAGCTAGGTCCTCTGTATAGATATAATGGTTGTGTAGCTTGGTGTTCCTGTGGGACTCCTAACAGTGAGATGGGGGTTTCTCTGACTCTTTTGCCTGCTTTTGGGACCTTTTTCCTCCTACTGGGTTGCCTCATCCAGCCTTGATATGAGGGTTTGTGCCTAGTCTTACTGTAGCTTTGTGATGCTGTGTTTGGTGGACATCCCTGGGAGGCCTGCCCTTTTCTGAAGGCAAACAGAGGCGTGGACATGGGGGCAGAGGGAGGGGCTTGGGACTGGGATGAGAGGAGGAAGGAGAAACTGAAGTCGGGATGTAATATATGAGCGAAGAATAAAAAAAGTGGGTGAAGATGTTGTATGAACTGTTAACAGCTACTGTCCTTCTTAACTTTCCAGTTTGCTGACTTCAATCTACTAA